TTTTTTATAATCCTCACCTGAGGATATTTTTCCCATTGATTTTTTTGAAGAGTGGAAAGGAGAGGGAGAGACAGAGAGAAACATTGAGACACATAAATTGGTTGTGGACCCCTCAGTTCTCAGGCCAGGGTTCAAACCACTAAGCAAGCCAGCTATGGCTATCACTTCTTTTAAGTGCGCCTTTTTACACACACTCAGGCCTGTATTATTTATACAGCTTGGGAAAGATGCCTTCACTACTGGTAGACTTCAATTTTATAATGAAATGAGCTGAAAGATAGGATTTTAAATTTGTTTTAAGGGCCAACTTTTCAGATGCAGAGTTTCTAAAATATAAATAAGCAGGTGGGGAGAATGTACCATTGTTCAGAAAACAGACTAGGTCTCTTTCTAGTTACTTGAACTATTTGGATAAAAATACAAAAATCTTTCAGGTCTGTTCACCTCCTTTCTACCACTGGACTTGAAGCAGTTTGAGGGCAGGAGTCACTTCCTGTGCTGAGTATTTACTTGTCAGTACAAAGTAAATAGTTGAGGCTCAGAAAATTTTGCAACAGTAATTCTGGATGATAAATGAGGGGCTCTATTAACCTGAAAAAATGTTACTGTTTTAAAAGAAAATATTTGTACATAGTACAAAATTCAGAAAGCTTAAAGGAGAGGGAAGGTAACTTGTTTTTTAATGTGCATGTTTTTTTCCTTTGAATTTTACCATGTGCAAGAATTACCTTTTTAAAAATAACAATGAAATTACCTGGTTGAAACATATGTCCATCTTAAAAATTGATGGGTATTTAACTTGTCTAAAGAGGTACCAACTCATGCGTTCACCAGCAGCACTGGTGGGTGCCTGATTCCCTGACCGCTGACTTTGGCCACCACCGGATTACCTACTCGTTTCATAACACATCTTTTCCATCTCCACTTAAAAAGTATTAATATCAATGAGGGGTTCCCTCCTGTCTTGCCTTACTTATTTTTCCTTTTAACCTCGCCTGAGGATAAACTTACTGATTTGAGAGAGAAACATTGATGCGAGAGAGAAACATCCATCAGTTGCCTCCTGTACACACGCCGACCAGGGCTCGAACCCACAACCTTTTGGTATACAGGACAGTTCCCAACTAAGCGAGCCAAGCCGGCCAGGGCCCGTCCTGCCCTGTTTAAATCGCGTGCCACTCTTTGCTTATTGCAGGACAAACTGGTGCCGGGAACAACTGGGCGAAGGGGCACTACACAGAAGGAGCAGAGCTGGTGGACTCAGTGCTCGACGTGGTGAGGAAAGAGTGCGAGCACTGCGACTGCCTGCAGGGCTTCCAGCTGACGCACTCGCTGGGCGGCGGCACGGGGTCGGGCATGGGCACGCTGCTCATCAGCAAGATCCGCGAGGAGTACCCCGACCGCATCATGAACACCTTCAGCGTCATGCCCTCGCCCAAGGTGTCCGACACAGTGGTGGAGCCCTACAACGCCACGCTCTCGGTGCACCAGCTGGTGGAGAACACGGACGAGACCTACTGCATCGACAACGAGGCGCTCTACGACATCTGCTTCCGCACGCTCAAGCTGACCACGCCCACCTACGGCGACCTCAACCACCNAACCTACGGGGACCTCAACCACCTGGTGTCGGCCACCATGAGCGGCGTCACCACCTCCCTCCGATTTCCCGGCCAGCTGAACGCCGACCTGCGCAAGCTGGCGGTGAANCAACGCCGACCTGCGCAAGCTGGCCGTGAACATGGTGCCCTTCCCGCGCCTGCACTTCTTCATGCCCGGCTTTGCCCCCCTGACGGCCAGGGGCAGCCAGCAGTACCGGGCCCTGACGGTGCCCGAACTGACTCAGCAGATGTTCGATGCCAAGAACATGATGGCCGCCTGCGACCCAAGACACGGGCGCTACCTGACCGTGGCCACCGTCTTCCGGGGCCCCATGTCCATGAAGGAGGTGGACGAGCAGATGCTGGCCATCCAGAACAAGAACAGCAGCTATTTCGTGGAGTGGATCCCCAACAACGTCAAGGTGGCCGTGTGTGACATCCCTCCTCGGGGCCTCAAGATGGCCTCCACCTTCATCGGCAACAGCACGGCCATCCAGGAGCTGTTCAAGCGCATCTCGGAGCAGTTCTCTGCCATGTTCCGCCGCAAGGCCTTCCTGCACTGGTTCACGGGCGAGGGCATGGACGAGATGGAGTTCACGGAGGCCGAGAGCAACATGAACGACCTGGTGTCCGAGTACCAGCAGTACCAAGAAGCCACCGCCAATGACGGCGAAGAAGCTTTTGAAGACGATGAGGAGGAGGTCAACGAGTAGGGGAGCGTGCCCGCTCCGAGCCGCCAGCTCAGATTTTCTTGCTTTAACTCTGATGTGCCTTAACGCCGATGGCTGTTCAATGATGCGCTGGTCTAAGCATATGGGTGCAGGCCCCTCCCAAGTGCAATAAAATCCTACTCTCAGTCATCTAGAATAAAGAAAGTGCATTAAAATAGCAGAGAATTGGCAGTCCTACCCAATCAGATCAGACGAGGGACATTTTCTACTGGGGGACTTAAAAGAATATACAGGCCATCTGTGAAGGGCTAAATAAATAAACCTCACCTACTATAAAGTGTTCAGCCATGTCTGAGGATTAGCAGGGAAGTCAGAAACAGTATTTCTTCATCCTTTGTGAAATGAAGCTGTGCAGTGTTGCCTTATATTGAACATGCAATATTGACCTTTGAAACAACTTATTCATAATAAAACACTGAAACTATTCCTTTGTCTCTTCCAGCCTTTGCTTAGGCGGTAGATTTGTTACTTTGCATCTTTACAATGGTTGCTCAGGTCCCTCTTCCCTTCCTAGGTGGACTGCCCCAGGAGCTCACTGAAAGAACTGAGAGGAAAGAGGCTTTTCTTGAATTGTAGGCTTTCAGGGTGGTAGCCAGAATTCTGAGCCTACAGGTCGGGCGCACGTGGGGAAAAGCCCGTCAACCCCATTGGCAACAAACAGCATTTAGATCTGCCACAGAATTTTCCGTCTCCCTAGTCATGTCCTGGGCAAGTGGGTCCCAGCCTTCCCTAACAGCTCAATTGAGATTTGCCAGAGGAAGGATAGAAGATCACCTCCACGCTTCCAGCAAGCTCCTGGTGGGTGAGGGGCCCCGGCTGGGGTGGTCTCTGAGAGCTGCTGAGTTTCCTTCTCTGAGCGCTCAGACCAGCAGCCTGGCCCAGCACAGAGGGCGAAGGCTCGGCTCTTATGTATGTAATAAATTATCACTTTATGGCTCCTATAAACTAGCCACACCTTCTCAGGTCTTATGAAGAAAGTCAAATTCCACAGGACAGGACAGGGCTAGTTTTACTAGTAATTAGCCCACATTGCCGAAGTTAGCTGTGACACGTAACTTTGCTTTAGCCAAAAGAATGTGTGCCATGTCACTTCCAGGTGGAAGCCAATGTCAGTGCTTGGCCCTCTGCTCTGCCTCCCAAGCGGGGACCCCGATTCCTCCTGTAAATATAACCCAGTATCTCCTCTGGTAACCGCTGAGCAAAGCCCCCTGACCTTTGTTGGACAAGAAGCAAGGGAAGTGGGCCTTTGCCATTTGGAGCCACTGATGGGCCACCTCAGTGTGACCTAGTCCCACCCGGTGCTAGGATGGCTCACATCCAGTAACTGCATTTATTTTGTGCTAAGCCCCAGCCTTGAGGAGACAGCATGATTTGAAGTAGGAACAGATCTCATTTTTGCAGAAGTCTGAACTATTTTGTGAGAGTAAAAATAATCCTGACCACCCCCATCTAACCTGGAAATGTGCTAGGTTTGATTGACTTTCAAAGAGCAAAGATGTGCCATGAGCACCTGCTGTGGGCTGGGCTCTAGTTAGGCCCCAAACATGTAACACTCACAATGCCTGGAGCGCAGGTGTGACCATTCCTGCACAGAAGAGGCGGCCTGCTGGGGGCCGCAGGTGCGGGTTACCACCCGACTCTCACACAGCTTTGTCAGTTTTCTTACTGAATCAAACATGACTTGTGTCTGGCACAACCCATGTTATTCCTGGCACAACCCAGAAGGCCGCCAGCTGAGGGTGGGCAGAAGAGCACACACTGGCACCTCTCTGCAGTGCAGGAGGGTACACAGAACATCTCGTCTGCTGCGTATGTGAAGAACAGCACACTAAACACCGACAGCCCAGTGAGTCTTCCTGCAGCCTTAAAGCAATTCTTCACTCAGCTGCTCCCCACAAGCATCCTCCAAGGAAAGAGGGCAGTCAGTGTGGGACGACTGCAGGTCACTGGGTAGAGCAGCCTGCCCGAGCCACCTCCCACCCCGTCAGCCCAGTGCTCCAGATGCCACTGATTCTGTCTTAGGTCTGAGGAGTCACTACTCCCACAACATATGTAATTACATCAAGAACATGCAAGGCAAGTAGAAAACATTAAAGAAGGCTGCTAAAAATATATATTAATAAATGCAAAAACATGGTACTTCCAAATCCAAATAGTGGCACTGTAAGACTTAGTCCATCTTCTTCATGCCATCTTTTGGTAAAAACCCTGACCTGACCTAGGTGTGCAACAGTGCAGACCTCCGCTTTTCTGGAACCGCACCACCCTTCTAATAGTAATGGTAACAGCTTACAATTCAGACAGACAGGAAGACAGGGAAGATCCAGGCACAGGGGCCTCCTGAGCTTATTGTCACCGCCCTTCGCTGAAATCCAGGGGATGGCTTGGGACAGCCTGCCACACCCGCTGACACGACTTCCAGACCCAGATGGTGTGACCAACATGACTAGTCTAGTAAAGATGTAAACTGATGCCATCATCACAGACTCTTGCACTGACCGAGTTGGTACCAACATACTTTATATCCAGAGCTCCTCATTCCAGGACACACACAGAGGTTACTCATCCTCTTGTGGGAGCTGATGAGAACCAAAAGGACTGACATTTTTTCTAAAAGAAGGTATCCCAAGCATAAACAGTGGCTCACTGTGTGGTCAGGAGAAAAAAGTAAAATGTTTACACTTTATTTTTTGATGTAAAGAAGCCGTATTTACATAATACATTTATATTTTTTAATATGTTACAGCTCTCTGTAGAAAACCATTCCATTAAAACAAACATGTGATCTGGATTCAATCTTTAAAGTATTAGTCAAATTAAAATATTCTTATCAGGAGTCCAATTTAATTTCACAGCCTCTGAAGGGAAACAGGAATGAAGAGTGGGCGATGGGAAGTAGAAGAGACCCCCCCCACCGGCTCGCTTTCAGCGCCTCTCCCCCTGACATGGCCAGCTGCCTTCACCAGCGGTGGAGGGAACAGTACCAGGCACCTCTCCCAGTGGCTGTCCAAGGGCCCGGGCCGTGGGGAAAACCACCCTGCCACACCTACTGGGACTTCTGAAGCTGAGGATTAAGTGCTCCTCTTCCCACCACTTCAACTGGTCAGCAGCTAGTTGAGATCAACTCAGCAGTGCTCTCATTCTTTTGAGAAAGCCTGAGTTGAAATAACGTGCATACCGAAGCCACAATACAAGCTAAAAGGGCCTCCCTCCTCGGATCTGATTGGCGATTTTCTCCTCCGGGGACTCCTCTTTCTCCTTTCCCCGCTCTTTGTTCCAGTCCTTCAGGCCCTCTGGAAGGGAGGTGTCCTCATCCAAGCTGCCGGTGCCCTCCACAAATTCTTCATAGGTAGATTTTTCCGCAAATGGTCTGGGACCCAGAAGTTCAACCATATCATTCTTATCTAACACTTCTTTTTCTAGTAACAGAAGAGCAACCTGAAATATGAACAATACAGTTACTCAGCAAAGTCTATTCAAAGCTAATGTTTTTGTTTATGGCCAACCCCACCCCAAAAAGGGTTTAAGAACCACTGAAAAAGATATACACAAGGTCACCTAATTTTGGAGTAAGGTGTGCAAAACAAAAAATACTGTTAAAACAAATGTTCAGCAGTAAGGGAGTGGCTAAATACATTGGTATCCACACAATGAACAGTTACATAAGCACCTATTCGATGAGAAAAGTGCATGTTTGCTACATTTGATTTGATAAATCACCTTTTATGTGCATTGCCATCTTATTTCACTTTTTTCCTTATTGCTACCTTTTGCCTTGTAAAATTAGATCTACTTTTAAAATAGTAGTCATCTTCTGCCATCTTGTGGAACACATTTTTTATATTCAACTAAAGACTGCCTACATCGTTTTCCTAAGCATGTTTGCATCCATAGGATGAAACTATAATTTAGATACTACTTCCTGCACTATTTTTTTTAAATTCTATTTTCCTATCCTATTCTTTTTTCCCAGGTTTTCCTATTTCATTTAGTTTTAGAGACCTGTGTAAATGTGGTAACATTATTGTTTTTTTTTAAAGTACCTTTTTAGTTCATTTTATTTTTTTTTAATTTTAATAAGGTCGTTCTGAATCTACGATATTTAGTCTGGTTTTATCTTCCTCCCTATTCTTCTTCTATTCCATTTATATATTCCTGTAAAATTCCATTTTCTAAAAATTGGTTTCTATATAAATGCACACCTTTGTGAAAAAAATATGGAGCACTTCACAAATCTGCATGTCACTTTTGCACAGAGGCCATGATAATCTTCTCTGTATTGTTCCAATTTTAGTATATGTGCTGCTAAAGCAAGCACAGGAGAATATATCTTTTTATGTGTGTATATGCATAAAGAAATTCTGGAAGGATTCATGAGAAGTTAAATGGTTGGTGGGGGGGGGGCAGCGTTGGGGCAAAGGACAGAAATAGGGTGAGCAAGAAATTTTAAAAGTTAGTTGAAAATAACAAAGACAAACAAGAGCAAAGATACAAAATAAAGCCAGGAAGGTTAATATGAAAATATGTATCTTGACTTCTATGCATTGGGATGGATAAGCCACAAAGTTAACACTACACATTTTTTGTTTGTTTGCTTGTTTTGTTAATCCTCACCTGAGGATATTTTTTCCATTGCTTTTCAGAGAGAGTGAAAAAGGGGGCAGGGAGACAGAGAGAAAGAGAGGGAGGGAGGAGGGAGGAACATCGATGTGAGAGACACATTGATTGGTTGACCAGGAGCCAGGGATTCAGCCTGCAAATGAGGTCCATACCCTTGGCAGGAACTGAACCTGGGACCCTTCAGTCTGAGGGCTGATGCTCTAACATTAAGCCAAACCGGTTTAGGCTTTTTCATTTGTGTTTTTCTCATTAGATAATGTGTGGAATGTTCACAGAACAAAAAATTCTAATTTTGGCTGCATGGATTCTAAATAAGGACCCATGCCTTTTGCAGACGCTATCCAAGTGAGGTACAACAGTGAAAGACAAAGCAAGTTTATTCATGGATGCTCATCATCAAGCCAAATGTAGTTTTCATGTGCTGACTTCCTGCTTATCAAGTTTGGCTAATTCTTTTATGTGCCCTTTCATCTGTCACTTAGTTTATTCCAGAGGTGAAAAACAATGGTAAATTTCTATCAGTCCACAGTGCTCCATATTTAGGAGTACAATAGGGCCTCAAATAATGTTGTTTTGTTCAACATTGTTTTGCTATAACATTGATGAGAGGCCATAGGAACTTAATTCTTGTTTATATCAATTAGCCTATGGTAAAATTGGTTTCATTATACATCATTTCGCTTAAGGCTGCAGAAACTACCAACAACATTAAGTGGGGATTTACTGTACTGGTAAAATACTTGGTGGGAAAGAGTGCAGATTCAATTGTTTATTGGGTAGTTGTTAACAGACTTCATTAATCTGACTTCACTCGTATCTTTAAGAGCCACAGGAGCCAGGATCGTGCCCGCTTTCGCTCACCACATTCCCACCACCTCAGAGACAAAGCAGACGCAGAAACCTCAGAATGAAGGAACCCAAGAGTTAGCCAGATATGAGACATGCTGACATCTATAAACCAACCGAAAGAGTTGATCATCACTTTGAACCTTTTCTGCAAAACTGTGTATAGAATTATTCGTACAGCTAGCACCTACCTTCTCCACATCAGCTTTCTTTTCTGTGAGAAGAGCTACTGTTCTTTTGTAAGCATCATTAATAAGTATTCGTACTTCATCATCTATCAGTCTTGCAGTGGCTTCACTATAAGGTTTCTCTAATACCATGTCACCCTGACGTGGGAGGTCAAAGGAGATTTGCCCAACCTTTTCATTCATGCCAAACTGAACAATCTGAAAAAGAATACATCATTAGTGTTGGACATCCATTTTTGCTGACAGGCTAACATATTTTCTTATTTTCTTTCTTCTTTCTCTTTCTTTCTTCTTTCTTTCTTTCTTTTTCTTTCTTTCATCATCTTTTAAGTATGTTTTTATTGATTTCAGAGAAAGGAAGGCGAGGGAGAGAGAGAGAAACATCAATAGTGAGAGTCACTGATCGGCTGCCTCCTGCACGCCCTGTACCTGAGATCGAGCCCACAACCTGGGCATGTGCCCTGACTAGGAATTGAACCACAACCTTCTGGTTCATAGGCTGATGCTCAACCACTGAGCCACACCAGCCGGGCTTTATAGTTCTTATTTTGTTGTTAATCCTCACCTGAGGATATTTTTTCCACTGCTTTTCAGAGAGAGTAGGAGGAGGGAGGGGGAGGGAGAGAGCGGCCTCGATGTCAGAGACACATCCAGTAGTTGCCTCCCACACACTCCCGGACTAGGGGTGGGGAGCAAACCCACAACTGAGTTATGTGCCCTTGACTGGAATCCACCGCCCTGTGGTGCGTGGGCCACTGAGTCATGCCAGCCAGGGCCTAACATATTTTAATAAAATGCCAATAAGTCTTTATAATGACATTAACTCCACATACTTCATTGTAATAATACTCCTTAACCTGGCAAAGTCTACATGGCAGTCTTGAATAGGCTGAAGGACAAGGGTGTTCTGTGCAGACAGTGGCAGCAATGAAGTATTTTAAATTCCTCAACAAGAAGCCCACTGTTAACATCTACAACAAAATTAGGTGAGAAACAGGTGGGGCAATCCCCCCAGCTGGAAGACCTGCATGATACCACTCCGTGCACAAGGGGGAGCAGAAGAGGAGCAAGAAGCTTCTGACAGATCCGAGAGTAAGAAGCCCAAACCCTCCATGTTCTTCCTACAGAGCGTCCTGTCAACCTGAGAACTGACCCTGGAAGGGGCATTTGCATTTTCCTGTTCCCTGAGTCCATGGGCTGGGAGACTGTGAAGAGGCTGGCCTAATCTGGGCGATATGAGCCCCAAAGCTAACCAGAATAAGCCCCGCATTAAAAAGAAACTTCTGGAATATCAACAAGACAAGCAATAACAAGTGCTGGAGAGAAAAAGGAAACCCTCATTCACTGCTGGTGACAATGGAAACTGGTACAGACACTATGGAAAACAGTATGGAGGCTCCTCAAAAAATTAAGAATAGAGCTACCATATGACCCAGCAACCCCTCTTCTGGGAACCTACCCAAAAAATTTGAAAGCATTTACTCACAAAGATATATGCACCCCTATGTCCATTAAAGCATTACTCACGGTGGCCAAGACATGGAGACAACCAAAGTGTCCTTCTATAGATGACTGGATAAAGAAGGTGTGGTACATATGTACAATGGAACACTACTGAGCCGTAAGAAAAGGTGAAATACTGCCATTTGCAACAAAATGGATGGACACTGAGAGTAACATGCTAAGTGAAATAAGCAGACAGAAAAAGCTAAGAATCATATGATTTCACTCACATGTGGGATATAAAACTGAAACTCATAGACACAGACAATAGTATGGTGGTTACCAGAGGGAAGGGGTTAGGGGGTCGGAAAGGGGGCCAAATATATGGAGACAGAAGATGATTTGTCTTTGGGTGGTGGGCACATAATGCAATATACAAATGATGTATCATAGAAATGAACATTTGAAACCTATATGATCCTATCAACCAAAGTCACCTTAATAAATTTTAAAAAAAGCTTCTGGAAGTAAAACCCAAACTGACCTGAAAAGGGAAGGCCCAGATAAAAGTGGGGAGCAGAAACTGAGCCAGGAGAACTCAGAAAATAGCCATATTTTTAAAAATTTCATGAAAAAGAAAAACAGAAATGGGGATTCTAAAGCTATCAACCTAGAAAAGTCCTAATCTTCCTCCTTCCTAGAAGGTCAGGAAAACAAATTTCATGTAAAACTGAGCAATAGAAAAATCCCTTATGAAGTTATTCTGAGAAAAAATTAGCAGCAGAGTGTCTCCAGAGATAAGGAAAGCTCGATGAAAAGATTTCCATAAAACAGATGAAAACTGTAGCCTACCACTCCAAAAAAAGCTAAAAGGAAAAATCAGAAAAACTACATAAAACAAAGAATAACATAAATCAGAATCAGAAAAACTCAGAGGTGGTGCTAGAACATAGAAAAAAGATTTTTTAAATTATTTTAAAAATAAGGATTAAGCTAGAAACAACACGAGCAAACAAACACAACAAATAATGCTCTAAGAAATAGAACGTGAGGTGACAGTAAGAAATGAATAAAAAATTTATATGTGTCATTAAAAAGGATTTGAGAAAGTTACAGACCCAGAAGAACTGACATATGAGAAACAGGAGTGCCCCAAAAAAGTCATTTATTTTTATAAGTTTTGACTGCTTTAAAATGGATTTAAGAAATAATCCTTGTCTGAAAAGCCTAAGCCAGTCAAACATAGTACTACTATTCAGAGCCATTCATGAATGACCGTCTCTCACACAAATGTGAGGAGGAAGAAACACTCCATTTCATACTTACTTGGGCATATGCACTCTGAGTCACTTTTCTCAAGTCATCTTGAGCACCAGTTGTAATTCTTCCAAAGAAGATTTCTTCTGACACCCGGCCGCCCAGAGTCATGCACATCCTATCCAAGAGCTGCTCTTTGGTGTACAGGTATTGTTCTTTGGGTAAATACTGAGCGTAACCCAGACCTTTGCCCCTTGGGATGATGGACACCTGGCAAATACAAAACAAAAACTGTTGGAGATTCCACCACCAAATGTAGACTTGATCACAACATTTACAGATAGACAAACTCACTTATGAAAAATAAGCACAGTAGCTGGGCAATCCATCAACCTTGGCTAGATGAGATCTAGCAGGAGTGACTATGCAGAAATATTTTCTCTTAGGATAACTTCACCTTAAGAGTTCTAGAGAGTATTTGTCTTTTTATAAAACTCAACTGAAATTATTCAGTTTGACAAAAAGACTGCTGGCAAGCAATGACTCCTCCTGAGAGCTTAAATACAGTAAAGGTTTCACTCAACTTGACTGTCAGCATGGCCACGCCCTCCTTTACAGGACAGGGTAAGGCAGACGGGGTAAGGCAGACGGGGGTAAGGCAGATGGGGGATAAGGCAGACGGGGGTAAGGCAGGCAGGGGGTAAGGCAGACTAGGGTGCTCAGCAGCCTTCACTTTCTTTTCTAGTCTTTCTGCAATTGAGTAAATTCCTTTAATTTTTAAAAAATCCACTTTATTAAGGGATGATTTATATATAAAAAAGATGCACCCATTTAAAGTGTACAGTTCAATGCATTGTTTTTTTTCCATATTGGATGCACTTTTATTTATTTTAAACAACTCTTCAGTGGCCCTTTCTAATTATACTTGAATACTGACATGAAAAACATGAATTGTGAGGTCTGGAGAGAACACATCACCACACAACAGATGGAGCTGCTTATTTTCAGGTACGCATTAGTAAGACGCAGTTGTGCAAAGACTTGCTCTTGATCATCTATTTCTAAGATCAATGAGTTCTGACAAACTTAACCTCCTACCACAATGTAGATATAAAATATTCTCTTCATCCCCCCAAAGTTCCCTTGCGCCCCTTTGTAGTCAACCCTTCCCCTAACCACAGGCAAATGCACATATACTTCAGACCCTATGGATCAGTTACAATCTCTAGAATTGCATATGAGTGGAATTATACAGTAAGTACACTTCATTTTATCTGGTTTCTGTTTCTGCGTCACCCCCACTGCTGTGTGTTGATTCATTTTTTTCTGCTGTGTAGCACTCCACTGTCTAAATATACTGAATATACATTTCATTCTCAAGAACATCAGGGTTGTCAGTTTATTGCTATTATGAATAAAACAGTGTAAGTCTTTGTGTGGACATTGTTTTCACTTCTCTTGGGTATCTAAGAGGGGGATCTTTGGTCATATGGGAGCATTTGTAAGAAATTGCCGCACTGTTTCCCAAAATGACTGTACCACTTCACATTTCCATCAGCAATGTATGAGAGTTCTACGCTGCTCCACATTCTTACCAACCCTTAAGGACTGGCTTTAAAATTTTAACCATGCATTATTTCCTTATGGTGTAATATGCAGTTCCCGTATGACTAATGATATTGAGTACCTTCATGTACTTAAAGTCTATTCATATATCATCTTTTGTGAAGTATATGCTCAAATCTTTTGCACAATTACTGGGTTTTACTGGGATGCTTGTTTTGTTATTATTGAGGTGGGGTTTTGTAATACCCAAGGATATGTTTATTGATTTTAGAGAGAGAAGGGAGAGAAACATCGATCAGTTGCCTTCTGCATGTGCCCAATGGGATCAAAACCACAACCTAGGTCTTTGCCCTAACCGGAGTCAAATCCCCAAACTTTTGGTGTATGGGATGACGCTCCAACCAACTGAGCCACTCAACCAGGGCATTATTTTAAGAGTTCTTCATGTATTCTAGCTACAAGTCCTTTTTCATACGTGTGTACTACAAGTATTTTCACAGTGTGTGGCTTGCTTTTCATTTCCTTAATGGTATTCTTCAAAGACAAAAAGGTTTTAATTTTGATGAGATCCCATTTATCAACTGCTTTTGTGGTTCGTGGTTTTTGTGTCCTACGAAATTTCTAACTACCCAAAGTTACAAAGACTTTTTCCTAAGTTTTCTTCTAGAAGTTTTGTAGTTTTAGCTTTTATGACCTATTTCAAATTACTTTTTTGCATATGATGTAAGGGTCAATGTTTACTTTCTTTCATCTAAACAATGAGCTTCCAGAACCATTTGTTGGTAAGACAATCCTCCCCACCTTCAATAACCTTGGCATCTCTGTTGAAAATCAGTGAAACAATTACATGTGAAGGTCTATTTCTGGACTCTATTCCATCTCACTGACCTGTTTGTCAAGTTGTCTCACCAATACCAGTCTTCATTACTGTTGCTGCATACAAGGTCTAAAATTGGTTAGTGTAATCCCTTCAATTTAATTGTTCTAGCTACTTCAGCTGATACCTGCAATTCCATATAAATTCCCACCCTGTATTTTGAAAAATTTATCCCTATGTATTTCATTCTTTTGGATACTATCGTAAATGAAATTGAATTTTTAAAATTTCATCTTCCAATTGTTCATTGCTAATATACAAAAATACAATTGATCTTTGTATATGGACCTTCAATTCTATAACCCTGATAATAACTTCATTAGTTCTAGTGACTTTTTAGATTATTTAGGAAGTTTTGTATATACTTTAACGTGTTCTCTGAGGTCCCCTTGCTTCAGGGGACCACCCCCCTCAATTTCCAGCTGTCTCAACATAGCAAGTCAGTCATGCTGCTTCCTGTTATCCAATGCTGCACTGGTCTGGGGAATACACTCAGTGGAAAAAGAAGAAAATTTAACAGTCTCACTTGGTGCACGCCTGTCTCTTTGGTCTCTGCTTACTTTCCCAGGCTCTCTGGGATATTCCTCTGCATGCACAGGTTTGTAGTCAGCCAAGGATTTGGGCACTTCCTACTTGGATTTGGGTCTCAACTGCTCTGTAGCTTTCTTGCTTCCAAGATTTTCCTATTAAATTTCAAACTGTCTTCAAATCCTGAACTTTCCTCCTCCACCACTTCAATACAGTAAGGCCAGCATTTTCCACCACCAGCTGTGGAAAACCCTCAGACAAGAAAGTCACAAACACCCAATTCTAACCCATTGTAGCCACTACTTTCTGAGAGTAAACTCTCTTCAGTTTTAGTCTGCTCTGGGAAAATTTTCAGTCCCTTTTAATAGCAATTTTCTTTCCAAAACTTTGTAACTTATCTGTGGGAGGATTGTGTCACCACTTTATCCCACGGTTATTACCAGATGTTTTCTAAATTTCTTTAAATTTAAACATCTCATCTATTTATCCTTTGAGAGAGTGCAATTTTCTCCTCAAGTAATTCCTCACACAACCATCTGGCTTACTTACTGTTCAACACAAACTGCTTTACCTTCAGAAGTGGGTCTGCATGTTCCAGATACCAGCCAGCAACCGCGTGACCTGCCTCATGGTATGCCACAGTTTTCTTCTCCTCAGGCTGCAGAACCTGGGTTTTTTTCTCTAAACCTGGCAAAAACAAAAAAACAAAAACCACTGCATTAGTGACACTGACATAAAAAGACAGTTACACAATACTACACATTGCCTTACCTAAAAGGTGATTTAGAGATTAAGATGCTTCGACAATCCAAAAGTTATCAATCAAGGTCAGAATAAAAATAAAGGATCAACTTCGAAATACACTCAGCTGCAGCAAAAATGCATTCACTACCCCTACCCCCAGGCCCATTTTTTTCCTAACTTTCCCACTCTTTTGAGCCACATATATTGTTTAGGGACATAAACAGAAATGCAAAATAAAAGTCAGCACTTAAGTCAACTTAAAACATAGAATTCACAGAAAACAAAGTCTGGAAAGAACTCACTGCTCAGTCTAGGTATTCAGAACTATCAAGCACTGGAAAAGCAATGATGCCTGCCACTGGAGACTATGTTCTTGACGGAAGGTAGACAATCGTCAGAGGAAAAACTAAAAATCTGAAAATACCGACTTAGAAAGTCAGGCCAATGCTGCAGCATCCAACGCCCTCAACGAACAGCCCGAGGGGTTCCAAGAGCCAGACAAAGCAGCAGCAGGGTAGACCAGAGAAGATAAACCCCAGGAGACCTGTGCTGGGCCTGTGTGTCCACTACAGAGCTGAAGGACCCCTAATCTATGCACAATTCTTCTTCGGCCTGGATAAAGGTGAATGCTGAATCTCGTATGCACCTTTATAATGTAGAAACTAACCACAAAGTTTGTACTAATACCAATCATCACACCATGACAAAAGTAGTTTTGTTGTGTTCAATATAATTCATCTGAATTTCTCAAGTGATAACATATTAAGGAGTCTAGAAGATTTTTAAAAAAGACAGTGCTGTGTTCCCAATGACACAACATAAGAGAAGTATGTATATACCACAGGTGGAAAGTATATCCAAGGGTGGGAAGTTACAGAGAGTGTGTTAACAAGCCCTGTTTTCCATAGATAAGCAGTTCTTGGTTACCTGAAAAACTAAAAATTTCCCCATAGTTTATCATTAGAATTTTTCATTTTCAGTATATTATTACAGAACAAGGACTTCCCATGGCTGGTTTACAGTGGCTGAACTGTGAAGAGATAAGCAAGTGTCCACCCACCTCAGAGCAAGGCTCCTACTCTAACTGCTGCCCTGTTTTCTTTTACACTCTCACTTTGTGTTAAGCACTGATAGCATCCCTGACTTAAAAAGGCACAAACATGCAGTTTTCACGTTTCTATGGTGATTTAATTCCATCTGCAATTCTACATCTTAGATTTTTTTTCTTTTCATTAACAAATTTCTAGAATAAGTGGTCTACTCATTCATTACAGTTATTTAGCCCCTAACCGAAACTAAGCAAGTGACTATCCTAGCTCTAGATCCTCACTGGAATCTCCATTAATCTGATTCCGTACTCTCCACTCAATTCAAACTGTCATGTCAAAAGTCACCAAGAACAGCCTCACTGCCAAATCCAAAGGCCAGTCTCCCTAACGTCCCCACATCACTTGACCCTGCTGCCAACCCCTCCTCAATAAACATGTCACTGCCCTTGTCTCCTTCACCTCCAACCTGAGTCCCCTTTAATGGCACTTCTTGTCTTATTTGGTGATGCACCTTCTGGGTCTGTAGCACACAAGCTTTGGTGACTTTGCTGACTTACTTTTCTCTCCTCCACTACCAAATGCGAACATTTGGCAATGCTTACCACGTGGACCCCTCCCTGTTCCTTCTACTAGGCACCCGCTCCCTGAACTTTCTCACCCACCTTCACACCACAGGAACCCAGCCAGAACCACTGCAGTGCTCCAGATTAACATTGAATTCTGCATCTCAAACCCCGCAAATCTCATTTTCTGCCAAACCAGCTGCCTCAGACACTCTGTTCTTCCTGCAGCCTGTCAGGCTGTGCTTTTTCTGCCTCTTTCCACTGGGATTATCTATGCTAAACCCGCTACCTCACATGAGTGACTACAAGGTTCTCTGTCTCCAGATGCTTCCCTCTTCTTCAGAGTCAGATTCACTTTCCGAAACTATCATATTGCTCAGTGGGCTCCGGAGAAACCCACACTAGTTCCATACTGGCCACAGGACATTTAAAAAGTCCTTGAGCTTAACATTCAAGGCTTTTTAAAATCAGGACTTAAATAACTTTTTTCAACCTTGCCTTCCTTCCCACAGGAACTTGAGTCTCACTAGTTTATTTTCCCTGCACGAAACACAGAGTGTATGCAACACTATCTACAAACCACCTTCTGTTCGTGCCACTTTCACACGGTACCCCATCTGTCTACCAAACCCAGTTTAAATCCCACCTCTTCTGTGTAGCCCTCTTGACCACAGTCTTTTCTCTCCTTCGAATGCCCAAGTTTTTGAATGGCTAATTATGTTTATTATGTGTTAAGCTGTAAGCTCTCTAGAAAGCATGGAAAACGTGTTATCTGCATCCCCCACCGTGCTGGCGGGGTGAACATTTCCTGGTTAAACAGTCACTGGAGGTGTTTATCCATCACCTGTATCTACATAGAACACATTTAACTAGTGAAATGAAATTTTTGGAAATAGGAAGGTTGTGAGCACTTATAAAAAACTAGATTGGAATCATTCAAGGGAAGACACCTCACTGGGCTTGCTGCCCATGCAAGTGAGGCAGTATGTGGGCTGTCATCTGACTTACCCAACACCTACCCCACCCATCTCCATGCAGACTGCAGGGGAGGGCAGGGGTTCACAGCACCAAAGAAACACAGCAGGTACATGGTGAGCCCCACAGCTAGGAAAATAAACTTTGCTTCTAGATCTTGCCAAAAATTCCTGGCCTCAAATTCATCTTATCAGCCTCTGACTTGAGTTATATACAGTTCCCTTACCACCAATCACTCGTTCAATTGCTTGTTCAAAGTGTTTCTGGTTTATAGACTCTGAAAGGTGTCTCGCAGCAATCAAAGCAGCTTCATTACAGACATTAGCCACATCAGCTCCTACAAAATGAATATACAGAACAGCTTAGTCACCAAATATGTATACTCAGACTGATTAGTCACACATTATGGACAACCAAATCCAGAGTCAATTTCTCAACCAACAGGCTGGATAAGGATTTTATGTAAATATAATTCAGTTTGACTGATGACAACCCTAAGGTATTCTAGCACTCAATAACAGCCTAGTATAATCCTGGCCCTTTGAACTGAGGTACAAGTATTAGTAAATGGAAAATTACAGGCATAGATTTACCTTTATATACAATATGGCTCATATAAACTAAGATAGTATTTAAAAATGCCCATTAATTAACTAAGTCCTATCTCTGTGGGAAAGTGACTTATGTGGATATTACACAATATGCTGAAATATAATAAAAAAAAAACATAAGCATTAAAATAACCTAGTGCATTCAAACAAGTTAAACTTTCCAAATGCTTTCTAGAGCCATAAGACTTTTGAATTAACTTTTCAAAGTATATGGTAATGCAAATAAACTATAACACAATGTACGTGCTCAACAAATATTAAAATGTTATAAATTTCAAAGTCCAAAAACAAAAAGTATAAAGTTAGGACCCCTGAGATATTTGAGATGCTATCTTCTAACAATAAACTTGTTAGAATCTTCTCATACTTTTCAAATGTTTCTTTTTATTTCATTTTAAGTTTGAAAGAGGGAGAAAGCAAATGGGAAGAAAGAATCACACTGTGCACTTAAAAACTCTTGGAATAAGCACATTAAAATATACCCAACGTTACTGATTATTAGAGAAATACACATCAAAACCTTGAGATACCACTTCATACCCACTAGGATAGCTACAGTAACAAAGACAAATAGTAACAAATGTTCATGAGGATGCGAAGGGAACTGGAACCCTCACACACTACCAATAGGAATGTAAAATGGTGCAGCCACTGTGGAAAACAATTTGGCAGTTCCTCAAAAAGTTATTCTGCAATTCTACTCTTATGTATATAACCAAGAGAAAAGAAAACACTAAAATATATACATGGGTGTTAACAGCAGCATTATTCACAACAGCCCAGAGAGAAACAACCCAAATGTCCATCAAATGATGAATGGATAAATAATATGTGGTATATCCATACAATGGAATATTACTCAGCCATTAAAAAAATGAATTCTGACACGTGCTACAACATGGATGAAGTCTAAAAACATTATGCTACATGAAAGAAGCCAGATGCAAAAGACCATGTTATATAATTCTATCTATATGAGGGTCTAGAATAGAAAAACCTATAGAAACAACAAGTAGATTAGGAGTTGCCTAGGGCTGAGTGGGAGTGGCTGCTAATGGATTCTTTTGGGGTGAACATATTTTTAAATTACTGTATAGTGATTGGTTGCATAACTATATTTAGTAAATATACTAAAAAACACTGAATTGTACACTTCAACACAGGTGAATTTGATAGTAAGTTAATTTTATCCCAGTACTGAGTTGTTTTTAAAAAACCCAAATAACTTCTGTATCATTTATAGATAAAATGATATGCTGTCAAGGAATTTGTCACAAACAAATTTATCCAGAGACAGAAGGAAGAGGGTAAAGGTATAGATAAGATTGGACATGAATTAAGAGTTGTTCCTAAAGCTAGGTGATGGGTGCAGAGGAGTTCACTACATGATTTTCTTAACTTCTGTTATATGTTTGAAATTTCCCATAATAAAAAAGTAAGAATATGTACTTAGGAAGCCCCAAGATGACAGGTAACAAAGTGAATGGATACCTGGCAACTGTCACTGATTTAAAGGACTTATAAACAGGACAGAAGGTTACTTTCCACTCACCTGAAAACCCTGGGGTTAAGGATGCAAGTTTTCTTGCCAGTTTCTCCTTCTCCAAGGTACTGTCCAGTTTTAGTGGTCTGAGGTGAACTTTGAAAATAGAGGCTCTTCCTTTTATGTCTGGTGGTCCTTGAGGAATTATTTTTAAGGAAAAAAAATCAGTGAAACAATGACATCCTCATGAAACTGGACTAAACCCAATGAAAATCATCTTACCAATAAAGATTTGCCTATCAAAGCGCCCTGGTCTCATCAGTGCGGGATCTAGGATATCTGGTCGATTGGTGCCTGCTAAAATGACAACATTTGTTGTTGTGTTAAAACCTGAAAAGATAATAATGAAGATACAATTATTAAATGGCATGAGGCAAAAAGTAAGTGTGCCTGTGAAGAATGTACGAACACTACAGATATACTGCTACTATCCTTAATGATACTAGTCATACATAGGAATCAACTTTAAGAATCAATTTTCTAAAGACCAATGATCAAAGATGTTAACTTACTTAACTAGAAATTTAGATTGTTATCAATTTTAAAAATGTTTTACTATCAGTAAGATTAAAACCTGCAAATGATGTGTCTAAACTCCCTGGACCATGGTACAGCCACTGAATATTTGAACAGGTATCAACCTCCACCTCTAACCATTTCTCCAGGCTAAACTTACTTGGTTTTATTGTCCATTTCTCAAACATCAAGGCCATGGCTGCAAAGCCTGTATCTTTAGGACCTTGACGCTGAAAGAGCTCAGGAGCTAATTTCCCCCAAATATGGCTCTCTGATTGAGACATGTGGCACTACACGAGGACTATCCATCAGAGTGGAGAAGGAGCTCTGTCTTCTGATTCTGGATACAATGCCCACTCAGTAATGAAAACTGGTTCAATACACAGCACTGTGTCTCCTCTTTCTGAGCACTCAACACCATCCGCATATCTTATAGCATGAAGGACCTGGCACATCCTAAGAATTGGCTTTCCTAAATAAAAAAAAAAAGCTGACTAACGTGGAAAGATTGCTACTCTCTTAGTAAAAGAGTATTCGAAATTTGCCAAATTCACACGTGGTTACACATGGCTTTTCCTGATGCTTCAGAATCATACATAGTTTTGAGAATGAGGCTATAAATCTTTTGTGAATCATTTCACCAAATTTCTCCTATTCAACACCAGGTACAAATACCATCTTAACACCAATATTAAGTAATGGCAAGCTTCCAGGCAAGAATATTTTGCTGTTATCTGTACTGGTATAAAAGAGCCTTTAAAAAGGCCATTTATTATAGAAAAGGCTTTTTTTTTTTTGGTATTCAATATGAGCATAAGGATTCTCCTTTGAGATATAATATATAAAACAATTAGACTGTAGTTTAAAATACAAAAGACTCGAATACTGACCATCCATTTCCACAAGCAACTGATTAAGTGTATTCTCCTGTTCACTCTGCCCTCCAAAGTTGCCTCTTCCTCTCTTCCTTCCCACGGCGTCTATTTCATCAATGAAGAGAATGCAAGGGGCGTTCTTCCGAGCAAGGGCAAATAAGTCTCGAACCTGGATAAAAATATAAACACTAAAGTCACTTGACAAATGAATACTATTTATCCTCCTAATAAAAAATAAACATAGAATTTCCTGCCCCGCAGGAAGACCGGTGTTTTGTGCTATACACAGTACAGCACGTATTTTAAAAGTTATAAGCAGCAAAGGAGTGAAGTGACAAGTAACCTGGAGGGTGACTGACTTAAGGTGAGCAATTATCACTTCTATAATCTCATAAATTCTTGTACATGTAACAAGAACTAATAAAATCTGCTACTTTATAACACCAACAAATGAATAATGCACACCTTCGGTTTACAAAAGGATAACACGGTAGTGCTGTAAACTTTAATTCAGGAAGTGTTTTCCTAGTGATTTCCACATTCGTGTGGGTCTTGGTTTCTCATTTCCCTGACCCACCACTGCAATCACCTTTTGCTCCACTCTGACATGACCAACACTGCAAGGTCCCCTCTAAACAATCAGCCTCAAGCAGTCTACTCTCTGATCACCCACCCTCCTGATGGTCTGGCCCACCCACATACTCAAGCAGCTTCCACAACCAATTCTTCACCTACTTCTTAGCTCTCCATCCCATTAGGCCCACTGCTTTCCTACTATCTACTGCTCCTCTCTGGTCTTCAATTCCCTCCTTGCCCATATTAGATTCCATGATCCATCATTATAAACACTCAACTCCCCCATACTCCCCCATTTTACTAAGACTTATCTCCCTTATCAAACCCATATGAACCTGCCAACTCCACCTATCATAGTTCATCTAATCTAAGACACCAATAATGCTCAGACCCATCATTACTATACTTGCAACTGAGAACGAAAAAAATGCTGCCCACTGAAAACACAACCCTTTGCTATTGATTGTAAATTGTATCCCAATGTTTAGGAAAGTAATTGTGATAGCACTCTGCATTTCTACAATGCTTTAAAAAAAAAGGCAACATTATAGACACTGGTAAAATACACAAGAGTAAAAATTTAAGTGTTTCTTTAAAAATTAATCCATACTCACACTTCCTGATTTCAAAACTTACTACAAAGCAACAGTAATCAAGACAGTGTGGTACTGGCATACAGACAGACATATAGGTCAATAAGGTAGAACTGAGAGTCAAGAAATAAACCCATGTATCTATGGTCAAGAATGCCAAGACCATTCAAAGGAGAAATAACAGTCTTTTCAATAAATGGTGCTAGGAAAACTTGATACAGGCATGCAGAATAAAGTTGGAACCTTATAGCACAACATATTAACTCAAAATGGATCATATTAATTGAATCATAGATCTAAGTGAAACAGTTGAAACTACAAAACTCTTAGAAGAAAACATAGGAGTAAACATTTACAACCTTGATTTGGCAATAGATTCTTAGTTGACACTAAAAGCAAAAGCAACAATTGGACTTCTTCAAAATTTAAAACTCTGGTGCTTTACTATCAAGAAAGTGAAAAGACAACTCACAGAATCGAAGAAAATGTTTGCAAATCATATATCTGACTAGGAGGTTAGTATCCTGAGTATATAAAGAACTCTTACAATGCAACAAAAAGAGAACCCAATTAACAGACTGCGATCTTGGTCAGGGTCGGGGAAGGTGGGGGGAAGCCTTACTGAGGCTCTTCCCTGGAAGAATGTTCAAGGCAGTGAGAGACTGGTGAGGAGTCACTCCACGGGACTCCAGGGCAAAGGGCCATCTTTACCAAATCCCCATTTCAGGGGCACAGAGGAGGAGGAGGGGGGAGCTGCACCATCAGAATAAAACAAAAGACTTACTCTAGCTGGACCCACACCAACAAACATCTCCAAAAACTCGGATCCACTAACAGTGATGAAAGGGACGTTGGCTTCTCCAGCTGTGGCCTTAGCTAGCAGTGTTTTCCCGGTGCCTGGAGGACCAGTGAGAATGGCACCCTTCAGATATAAAAAAAAAGAAAGTATATGAACTAGAATTTCAGAAAAGTAAACTGCATAAATCCATAGATAATTCCTAGGTATAAATCTGTATAAATTTTAGTGATATACACTAAATATTTCTTAATCATTTGAAGTATGGTAGAATATTAGTAAGAGGAAGAAAAGTATTATTAGAGACTATATCGTTTCAAAAAATTTGATCAGAATGAGAAACCTTAAATACTTTCTTTGTTTTATGAGATTTTTAGTGTTGCTTTTCAGACCTTTCTAACAGTATATAAAGGATGACTTAAACTAGGAAACTACTAATAAACCAACTGAGGTTTACATAATTAATTTAAGGACACACATCACACTCCCAATTTACATTCTTCTGATTTTATTCCCTTTAGAATTTCACAAATGAAGTAAAAATCTAATAACCAATGGTGAACTAAAAAATATATATATAGTTTACTTAAACACTATAATTACTTAAGTTGTGAAGATGCCTAAGTATGATGTGTACAGGTACTTAAGTAAGCTAATAACAAACTGTAAAATTATAAAATATGGCTTTTTATCCATATGGGTAGGAAATGAAATCAAGGAAATGATGATTCCTTTTACAAAGGATTCCTTTAAAGTAAACTTTATTAATGGATTTTTAAAAGAATTAGTTAAAATTTTTTGACTAATTTACTTAATTACTGAGGCTGGTCCTGGGAGTATAAAGATTAGTAAGGCCAGCCCATCACCAGCTGTGGTCACAAGGATGTCTGCTGGGAGGAGGGAAGGCAAGAATCAGTGGTGTCTGGCTCTTCTCCACAGAGTCCTGTGCCACGAATTTCAGAGCCAAGCCCAGGAAGACCATCTATTCATACCTGCTGAAGGAGGGACACTGGCTGACAGCAGGGCACTACAGCTGCTAAGAAATGAGGTGTCTAAATCAGACTGGAGGGAGAAGGAAGGCAACTTAAGGAAGGCTTCCAAGGGGAGAAAACACAAATCTTTTTCGAATATACACACTACAGTACATGCAAGAACACACCTTCACCTTCACACAGACCAAGCAACCCAAAAAAGACTCTTGAATTAAGCAGAGACTAGTAAGTTAAGACAGAGGAAGGATGAAAATAGCTACTTTATGAGGAATCAAACTTCATAAAATTGTAACTTCAGAGATCAAGAAATAAGGCAAAAAATTGGGGGGTTAATGAATTGGAAATAATCTGAAAGTTTATTTTACCTTTGGAATTTTTGCTCCTAGGTCTTGATACTGCTTTGGGTTTTTCAAGAAATTCACAAATTCCATGATCTCTAGTTTGGCCTCCTCGCAGCCAGCCACATCTTTGAACTTCACATCTATCTCATCCTTTAAGACCTTGGCAGTGGTTTCTCCAACACTGAAGAGTCCACCCATCCCACGGCCTGTTCGACCAATACCAGCAGGCCCCCTTCGTATGGTATACAGTAAGAATGCGATGATGAGCACCGTGGGCAGCATGCTCAGGAGGAAGGAACTAAAAAGGGAATCACACACAACAGCAACATACTTTTAAGACGGTTAATCTTTGGCTTTTTAAATGTTTTATAAGATATACTTTTTTGTTTTTGTTAATCTTCACCCAAGGATATTTTTTCCATTGATTTTTAGAAAGAGTGGAAGGGAGGGAAGGAGGGTAACAGGAAGGGAGGGAGGGTGATGGGGGGGAGAGAGGGAGGGAGAGAAACAGGGAGAGGGAGAAACACTGATGTGAGAGACACATCGATTGGTTGCCTCCCACACCCACCCTGACCAGGGCCAGGATCAAACCTGCAACCCAGGTACGTTCCCTTGACCAGGAATTGAACCTGCAACCCTTCGGTGCATGGGCTGATGCTCTAACCACTGAGCATACCAGCCAGGAAGCAAGATATACTTTTTGATAACTGCTTGGGATATAACTGCATATATTTTCTATTTTTATAAAACCTGAACATATAGTATTTTATCTGAGGCACACAGAATCTTAGCATCAATATCACTTAAGTAGAAGCACAAAGACCAAAAGAAAATCCTATTCTTAACATGTATCAGTACTTTATTCCTATCCCAATAACCACCATTTATGTACAGTGCAGACCTGTGATTTACTATCATTACAGCCGATTTTCAAAGAAATTTCTTCTGAATTACTTAAAAATTTAGACATATTCCTGGTATTAGCCTGGGTAGAAATTCTAGTTCTCTTACTGGAATGCCTCATTTACTCTGAAAAGATGAAAAGTCTTCCAAATATCAAATCCTTGCTAAGTTAACAGTTTTAAAAGTCCTGTATACATTTTTTATATTTAGTATTGGCAGACAAAAACATTTACAAATTGAAAGTCATATCATTTTATTACAAATTACTTCCTTTTTCTTCCTCCTTCATATTACAGTTCTTATACTGATTTCTTTTCAAAAATGTGCATGTACGTCATGACTGCAAAGGGGGCATTACGAAATCTTGAAGGAACAGCATCAAAAGTGCTAAAAGTGATGTGGAGGTTACAGACGATTTTTATTTTCTTTGTATTTTCTTAGTTTTCAACAGAGAAGGTATATTGTCTGCTTGACAGACTTTATGTTGAACTTTCAGATATAGATACAAGATTTTTAGTCCTACTGCTTATGGAGTGGCAGCAATAATTACTGTGCTGCATATGCTGTATCAATGGTGATGAACGCTGCACAGCCACTCCGTCCGACTTGTGCAGGCTTGAGAGAGATTTGCAGGAAAAATGGTTTGCCCTCCAACCTGATGTCTGCTCTGGAGGGACGTGCCGAGAAATGGCTTAAAGCCTGGGAATGCCTTTTACCTTTTGTCTGTTTGTCCTAGGTGAGAAACAAAACAAAAACAAACAAAAACAAAAACCAGGATTTACTTCCAAATTTTTCATCCTTTACAATACTTTAAATGTTCCTACAGAGGGCAGCAAGAACCATGAAAAATTTACCTTTGGTTTATTTCTGGAGAAAAAAAAAAAAAAAAAATGCACTGACAGCACTGACAATAAAAGTTTAAAGAACGGTGCAATCATATTTTTTGTAATGTTTCAGCACCAGCCTATAAAGTTAAATAATTATATGATAGCGTCAGGGGCCGAGAAATATATTATATGTGAGACAATTTCAATAGCTATCTAGATCTAAATACTGCAGGTAGATTGTAGGTTTACACAAACCAGGATTCAAAAAAGTCCCTAAAACTGAGAAACACTATCAGCTCAATTAACACACCAACTTTGTTTTTCTGTATATGAAAGAATACACAGAAAAATTAAGATTTACTTCTATTTTCACTCTCAAACTCGTAACTCTAGAGCAAGGTATGCCTTCCGTATTTAATGCAAATGGGGTAACTGCCAGGTGATCTACCTGGCTGTACCTAGATGATCACTCAAAGACAATGTAATTCCTAGGAAAGCTCAAAGAAAGTGACTCTTGAAATCAACGGGTCCTTCTTGAAAGACTCAGACTTCTAAGTGGTTTTATTAAAGGGAAGCAGCAGTTCTGACAAGAGAAGAATTACTTAAAAAGCTTGGAAAACTCTGAAATATAAGTGTAATGTAGTTAAAAGGTTGAAATGCCACTCTTGAACACAACAGGGCTCTTTATGCTAAAATCCTACTAAAAGTGCATTGAATATTAATACCCCGAATCACTGCTTAATCATGATAAATATAAATTTGTAGAAAATCAGTTACTTGCAAAAACTAGTAAATTACTAATCGTTTAAAAAAATCTGACCAAACTGAAAAAGGCCTGTTTGACAATGTAATGTGTAACCTGTCACCTGGTGACAGAACACACTGAACCATGTAGAGCACAGCGAACTGTTTTCAACATGTTTATGTATTTTCACTGTTTCTTACCCATCACTTTCAGCAATGTAGACAACGGGTACCCGATTCTCCCCTTCTATGCCCAATTCCTGCTGTAAAGTTTCCAGATTCCGCTCAAAGGTGTCCACACTGCCAATATTAAACCAAACGTACTGCTATAAAAACAGAAAAACAAAATATCCTAAGAATCAAGGGGAAACAAGAGTTTAATTCACTAAAGGGTTCAGCTTTTAAAAAAATTTTCAGAAATACTAAAAATTTATGAACTAAAAAACCCAACAATAATAAAAGACTCGTTTTAATGATATGATGATTAAGTTTCACTCAGTGAGAACACCTGGCAATTCTTGGCAAATAAGCATTTCTTTAGCAATATTCCTCAGTGGTTCTAAAATTATAAACTCAAAAGAATAAGAAATCTATTTGGAAACACAACCCTTTTTATCTTTTCATAAATAAATATGCTTATTTTACCTCTTTTCCATTTCCTAGTTCTCAGCTACCTATTCCCAAACTAAAAGCTAATGTGACACAATAACAACAACCAAAGTTTATTAAGCACTTATAAATGTCAGCACTGTTCTAGGTTCTTTGTATACATTAACTCATCAACCTTCATAGGCACTCTAAGAAGTAGGAACTATCACCAGGGGTGATAACCAATTCTTATCATTAGGCAGGCCCCCTCACCATTACCCTATTACCCTTCTATTTACTCAGTCCAAGTTACTGAGGCCGGCCCGAGGGAGGAACACCTGAAGGGACTGAGGCAATGGCTGTTTTACCCCAGCACAGAAGTATTCCATATTGTGCTACATCAGCCCTGACTATTACTGCCCCCATTTCACAGATGGGAAAACCATAGGGGTGACTTCACTTGCCCATGATTACACATCTAGTAGTAAGAGGCTGAATCTGAACCCAAGGAGTCTGGCTCCAGAGCCACTGACTGTAAATAGCATATCATACTACTGCTCTTATACCATGAAAACATTAATCATAACAACTCACATTTATGAAGTTTTACTATATAACAGACCCTGTTCCAGCACTCTGCAAGTATTATAGCACAAAAATACCGTTTATCCTCAAACATGCAATTGCTTTTAAAAATATTTTTTAAATCAAAACAATAAGTCTATGATATAAAACTCAGACAATTCAGAAGTGTACACAGAAGAGAGTAACATTTCATCCCATATTCCACCCACCAACCAATATTTCTATGTGGGAAATATCACTCTGGTATCTCTCTCCATATATCAAAAAACAAAAGATGGAGAGTAAATTTTATAACAATAATTCTTGGTAAGTTGTTCACTGACAAAGCTACAGAATTCCTGTGATTTCAAGCCTCAAAACATGTCAATAACAGATTAACCACATGTGATCGACAATTTCTTAGAATCTACTATCAACTGGGCAATATGCTAAATGCATGACTCACATCAGATAATCAGGGTGGACCAAGGACCAGCAGCATGGAGATTCTGGGGACAAAGTCTGGATAAGACCCTCTGGGGATGGGTCCCAGCAATCCAGGTGATTCTTATGCACCCTGAAGTTTGAAAACCACCACTGACTTTCACAATTCTCATTTAAGCACTAAGCCCTAAAATAGTATTACTGTTGTTCCCATTTTAGAGATAAAGAAACTGAAGTGTGGAGTTAGGCCAGACAGTTAGTAGAAAGTAGAGTTATTTTCTCTTAATTTCTCCCTCCCCCCATTCTTTTCACCTTATGATGAAACAACCATTAATAAGCATGCTACTTTTTTGTTTTCCTTAGAACTACCCCTCAGACTTTTAGTGCTGGGAATTAATTGGCACTCCTTTTAAGAGCAGTTTGGCAGTATGTATACAGCAGTTTTGAAAGTACACACCGAGTAATTTTGCTTCAGTAATAATCCTCGGGAAATAAATAAGGATGCACATAAAGATGTCTATATAGGATGTCCTCCAAAACAAAAGAGCTGATGTAAAGCCAAATCTGTCACACTCCAAAGCTGTATGTATTTATACAACACAGTAATTACTGTTGATATGCCAAAAGTCGTAGGACACTAAAAAACTTATTCCATTTCTGAAAGCTCAATATAGTCTGTCAAGCAAGCAATACATGTTCTTGGTTGAAAACTAAGAAAATAAAAAGCACCTATAACCTCAACACCCAGAGATAAACACTATTAGCAATTTTGATGCCATTTCTTCAAGATTTCATAATACCCCCTTTACAATCACAAAGTACGTGCACAATTTTGAAAAGAAATCGGTATAAATCCTTAACTTTAATACGAAGGAGAAAGAGAAAGAAATTCATAATAAAATGGTATGAATTTCGCATGTACATGCTTGTGCCTGCCAATACTAAATGTGACACTTGCCCTCGGGGAAGAGTACTGCCCACTGAGAGCCCTTTCTGCAGCAGAGATTAAAGCTCAAGGAAAGTGAAGAGCCCTAATGTTAACCAGGGCCTAATTTATCTATTTCTAATTTTTTGCTCTATAAATAATGTTTTGGAGGACATCCTATATAGACATCTTTATGTGCATCCTTAATTATTTCCCGAGGATTATTACTGAAGCAAAATTACTCGGTGTGTACTTTCAAAACTGCTGATATACATACCGCCAAACTGTGCTCTTAAAAGGAGTGCCAATTAATTCCCAGCACTAAAAGTCTGAGGGGTAGTTCTAAGGAAAACAAAAAAGTAGCATACTTATTAATGGTTGTTTCATCATAAGGTGAAAAGAATGGGGGGGGGATTAAGAGAAAATAACTTTCCTAAAAATGACTAAAATACCAGAGTCATATGACTACATGGATATTCTTTTATTTACTGTTTATCAGAGAGATGGTCACCACCAGCTCTAGTTTTCCTTAAAACGGTGCCCCATCGAGGGGGGATGACTAGGAAATAGTTAAACAAAATCATCCTATAAGAGAAGGGAAGCAACCTGGAGACAGGTCTGGCACTGGGGGAGGGTGGTAAGACTTCAGACACTAAAGGACTAAGGATGGGAGGGAGGCGGGGGTCAGGCCCAAGGGAGGACTGGGAGTCACCTGGGAACCTCACCTGCCCCTCTCTTTCCCTCCTCCCATGATCCCCTCAAGCCAGTCTGGGATCTCTGGAATAGAGTTCAAATGGTTGGACAGGAAATACAAATTATTTTAAAAACAAGAAATTAAATTAATATATCACAAAATGGTTGAGAGAGATATGAGCAGAATGCTTCTTAAGCAGATTTGGAAAAAGTTGTCTCAAGGCAAGCAATTCAGATTTTAACATATTTTTCCTAACCAAACAACTGTTTTCTCAGTCTTGAAAAACCATAGATGATATGGGAATATTAAAACCTGGGATTTCACTGTTTCCTAAATGTATGGCCAAAATGATTACTAAAACCAAAACAAAACCACTGACCCAATCCTCACACCACAATTATGTACGCAACATGCACATTCTCACCTATGATGGTGAAGATTACAATTGCTGCACTGCCCAGTGCTGGTATGTCCAGTGTATATGAGGTAATGTTTGCTTTTCAGCTTTAAATCTGAAAAGTTAATTTATAGCTAATGCACATCAATTAATAAAATCATTTACCCCATCAACAGGAGTTTTTCCTGGTGTAAAAGTCACTCGAACAAAACGCTTGTTGACGACTTCCAGTCTGTCTACCTGGAATTTTAAAGAGTTAAATATTCAAACATAAATTTATAGAAAAGACCTGAGATATTCTTTTAAGCTCATTTAAAATGCATATGATATTTCAGACAAACAAAGAATAATGAATAAGGATGCCCATGTTCCCCACTCTGGCTTCAGAAATAGAACATCACACACTGTTGAACCCACCAGTCTCGCCCTCCCCTCCTCAGAGGTGGCCACTCTTTGTATTAGGTGCTGACTGTCCCAAAGCACTTGTGCTACGCACAAAAGTAACTCTAAACATACACTCACTTTAGCCTGTTTTTAAATGCTAAAAATGGTCTCGTTTGGTATGTATTCTTCTACAATGTTCTCTTTCTTCCTATCATTATATCTATGAGGTTTATCCATGCTAACATGTCAGTTCTGTGGGGTATTCCATTCTATGAGCACACCTCAAGTTATTCATCCATTCTTGTGTTAAGACATTTAGGCTGTTTCAAAAGGTTCACTATCACAAACAATGCTGTTATGAACATTCCTGCACAGACCTTCCTGGGCACATCTTCAAAAATTTCTCTGGGATGGGTACCTGTGGATGGGTCAGTAAGGCTACGCTGCAGAGTATACACATCTTCACTTTTACCAGATAGTACCAAATTGCTGTTCAACTCACACTCCCTGGCAAAACATTCCTATTGCTCCGCATCATCACTTGCTATTATAGGACTTGTTAATTTTTGCCACTCTATGGGTATAAAATGTTTTAAACTTTTTTTCTGTAATCTTCTAACTATATCAGATTCTTAAGAACACTCTTAAATTTATCCCAGGGCCTTTGGCTGATTCAGAGCATAAGCTTGCTTCCTGCTCTAATAAAGTCTATCTTGGCAGGAAGACTGGAAGGTAAGAGTCAAATTGGAAAGTGAGGGAGCCCCAAATAATTCCAGGAGGAGCTGGAATACAGGACTAACTGTTTCTAAAAGCAGTCCTTCTAGAAAGGAGCAACTGAAGTACTCTACCCCCATGAAACTGTTAGGACAATGATAGACTGATTCCACAAAACCAGCATTTCAGGAGGAGACTCAGCTACAGGGGAATCCTCCCAAGGACCTGCCACTACCCTTGGAGGACAACTGCAGCCCCCTCCACACCAAAGGCGGCTCCCTACAAAACCTGGAAATTACAGATATAATATTGTCACTTTCATGAGAGAAATACTTGCTCCAAAAATCTGAGTAATTATTTCCATTGTTTCTGTCCTCACCTTACTGTGCAACATTTAAAAATAATTTTAGATTCTTTATACATTAATAGGTATTAATATCTCTATTTTATCCATTTTACTGATGAAAAATCCAGTACTGAGAGGTTAAATAATTTCCCCAAAGTTACAAAACAGCCTAATTCTGGTTCTCTTACTTATATTTCATCAATTCTAGGATGGACATTTTTCATATTTTAACATCTCAGAAACTATGACACATTTCACAACTGATGGTATTTCCGTTTCAGAGGAGCCTTTTTTAAAAAACACCAAAATAATGTATGTCTTACAATCAACAGTATCTTAAAAATGCTGAAATAGGGTCTTAGTGGGTAAAGACCCAGCTGGCAGTGACAAAAGCTCCTGAGCAGCCCTCAGAGCCTGTCTGGTCTCACTTTAAATATTGAGTGACACCCAGCCAGCATGGCTCAGCAGTTGAGCATCGACCTATGATCCAGGACCTTGTGGTTCGATTCCCAGTCAGGGCACATGCCCAGGTTGCGGACTCTATGCCCAGAGGGGGCCGTGCAGGAGGGCGGTCAGTGACTCTCATTATTGATGTTTCTATCTCTCTCTCCCTCTCCCTCTCCCTTCCTCTCTCTGAAATCAATAAAGATATATTTTTAAAATAAATAAATAAATATTCTGAGTGGTTTATTTATCCAATTCCAAGCCCACAGGAGATTAAAGCAGTAAAGATGTGAAGGAACCGTGAGAGGCTGGCACACTACACCAAGGAAAAGAGGCAGCTGAGGGCACATGAGAAAACAATGCAAGCAGAGGGAGGGCTACAAGAGCAAGAGTTGGGAGCAGTGGTTCCAAAACTAGGCTCCTGTATGAAGTGAAACAAAAGGATTTCGTGGCAAATTTGGGGATTGCTGGGTCAATATAAACAGGTTTTTTGGTTTCAGTACTTTTCAGCTTTAAAAAAATCCAATATGAAAATAGTAACTTTACAATGAACAAGCTTGGCTAACTTGTTGACTGTCACTTTATTGGTCTAATCCATGGAATTTCACCTTTTCAACCACAACAGCCACTAATCCCATAAAATACTTACTACTCCTTTAGAAAGATAGTTATTGACGAAGTCCTTCCATGTGATTTCTCTTCCGGAGCTCCTGAATAGGAAGTAAAACATGACTCCACCCCAAAACAGAGCAGTCCAGACAAAGTACATCCTGAATTCCTTGTCATCCCATGGAAAGTCACCCTGGGCAAAGAAAGAGACAATTTCTGTAAAGAATGAAATGTGACAATAGGATTTACGTTATGTTGGACACAAATCTCTCCCAACATCATTAATGCCTCCTAACTTTCCTGGGGCCACCCCAGATCCTCAAAATTAACACACAGTTTAGAATCAAACCTTCTGAAACCTGGACCACCAGTGAGAATCATCTTTCTTGCCACCTCGTTTTCCACCGCCACCAACTCCTCCTCCGGAAGGTCGTGGGGTAGCAGCTGACTTTGATTCTGTTCATAAGCAAAGAGTGTATACAGCAGCATAACAGGTTTTCATATCTCTCAACAATACTGCCATGAACAGTTTAATAAAAGACTTATTACAAGATATATTATGGCAACCGATCAGTTACTAAATAAAATACTGTGAGGAAGGATGAGACTAATACAAAGAGTTAACATTCAAGGAGACTTGTCAGTGCTTCACATACATTATCTCATGACATCTGCACAATAATCCAATAACCTGGTGAGTATACCCATTTGACAGATGAAGAAATTGTAGCTTAACTAACTTGTTGAATAGGTTGTTACAGTGTTAAGTGACAGTGTTACAGTGTTAAGTGAAAGAGAGTTAGGATGTGAATGCAGGTAAGTGAATTCCTAAGTTCCCACTTGAAGGTAAAAAGAAAGTGCTCTGCTTTCCCATGCCTATGAAGTGAACAGTTAATAGTTTCTTTTGTAGGAAAGACATGATCCTGATAATGGGCTTATTAAACAAACAAAACAAAACAAAACAAAAAAACCCACCCACATAAAATTAGTTTACAAGAATCTGAAATTAGTCACTGTCATGGGTTGATTGTGTCCCCCTGACCCCAAATTCATATGTTGGAGTCCTAACCCCTAGTGATCGTATTTGGAGTTAGGGTCTTAACAGAAATAATCAAGTTAAAATAAGGTCATGTGGGTGGGTCCTAATCCAATTTAATTGGTGTTTCATAAATAGGGGAAATTTGGATACAAAAGTGTATAGAGAAAAGGCCATGTGAAGACACAGAGAAGATAGCCATCTGAATCCCTTAAGGCTCTGAAGAACAACTTGAAAAAATGCACTATACCACCATATGTGTCAAATAAATTGCATGTATTATATTTCTAAGATTTTTTTCTCAGTGGCTTAAATTATGTGTCAAATATATTCATTAAATATACAGTTAAATATGACTGATAACTGGTCAGTCAACATCTCTAAGGTGACCTTAAATTAATTCAACTTGAAAAATGACAAGAAAATATAAAGAGAAAATGAAAGGTAAAATAAGACACCAGGTCTATAAAACTGTGTGTACTTATAACCTACAAGTTTCAGAACTGCCTTAAGATAACACTCTTGTTCAGTGAAAACTATCACCAACATCATGTTAGAGGAAAATGGTAAATTAAAAAATAATCTTTTTAAAAGGTACCTTTTTTTTCTCCCATAGCTTCTTTAGGTTCACTAGCTTTTTTCCCATTTTTTCCATTAGGAAAGTATTTTTCAAATCCTGTTAGAAAAGGGGGGGGAAAATACATGTCCTCAAACTAAAAGTCATCAGGTTTTATGTGTTTGTTTTTAAAGCAACTGACACATCATTAAAAAGCATAAACTAAAAGTATAACATTTCTTATGTAGGACTGAATCGGTCTAATACACTTCACAACCCAGGGGTGTACCATCAGACAGGAGGTAGGGTGGCTTACAGGAGGAGACAACCTGAAATATCACCTATGCACCTGCTTAGTAAACACTTACTGTGGCATGGCTCTTTAACAAGAAGGTAGAACATTATGGTCGAAGTGTTTACCTTTTGGAGGTCGAGAACAGAATCTTTGATAAGCAGCAATTACATCTGTCAAAAGAGAATTTCTGCTGGTCGTTGCTTGAGCTGTAGCATAGCGATAAAGCTGCAACATGACACATATGAAAGTATGAATTACATTAAAATAAAGAATTTTTTTAAAGAGCTTCACTTCCTAATATCATAATGTGGATGAAATGTTTCTCCTTTCAACAGGTGGTTACAGACTAGCACAGAAAGATGCTGTCCAGGGACGTCGAGGGTTGTCTGGCACTGGGCCACTCCGTCCAGCGACATAAATCACAATCCAGAACACAAGAGTACTTCAAACTCACACATAAGTTAGAACTGTAGCCCAACTACACTCTCTGCCAACACATTCACTTGGGTATTGTTTACATAATTTGCAGCATTCAAAAGACAAACTCAGACACCGAAAATCTGCTGCTCCATGTTGACTAATTTGCAGGGTAATACTGAAAGATTACTTACCTGAAATTACAGAACAATGCTGCTTATAAACATAATACTAAATTTATCTTAGTTTAAAGATAAGAAAGTTATGGTCCAACATCACTGATAACACTTATACTAGGAACATTTGCTAAAGATACTTGATATAGTGTCATTCCAGTGAGAACCCTGGTTACACAACTCCCATTACAGATACACCTTTGCTTTAAATAACATGTTGCCAAAAAGTTGTGTGTAAGTACCATCTAGATAAATCAAAGGATAATGTAAACAAACTGAGGACGCTTCCTATTAAATTTTTAGCTGCACAGTTAAAAGCAAAGGTAAGGCACACTGAGGGAATATATCCAAATTTGGCAGTGAAAAAGTTCAAGTACTCTTATCCTTTTGCAAAGTAAAAATTCACCACCATATTTTGGGAGGACAAGCTTTTCAATACAGAAGAGAATGTTTAAAGTGAAGTTCATCTATATTAGCATCTATCATTATTTGCCTCCTTTATGGTCTGATGAGAAAAGTAAAACATCACAAAACCATATAAAAACCACTTCACATTCACTAGTGTGGCAATAGTAAAAAAGACTGACAATAGCAACTACTGGTGAGGATATGGACAAAAGTGGAGTCCTCGTACGCTGCTGGTGGGAATGGGAAATAGTGCAGCCACTTTGGAAAAGTCTGGAATCCTCAAAATGTAAAATGTAGCCCTGGCGGGGTGGCTCAGCTGATTGGAGCATCATTCCGTACACCAAAAGGTTGCAGGCTTGATTCCTGGCAAAGGGACATACCTAGGCTGCAGATTTGATGTTTCTCTCTCCCCCTTCCACTCTAAAATCAATGGATATGCTTCCATTGATTTTAAATGTGGTATGTTCACACAATGGAATATTATTCAGCCATAAAAAAAAAGAAGTATTGATAAACGCTACCACATAGATAAGCCTTGAAAACATGATGCTAAGTTCAAGAAACCAGACACAAAAAGTCACATATGATTCCATTCATATGAAATGTCCGGAATAGGTAAATCCATAGAGAATGTAGATTAGGAGCTGCCTTGGGCTGGAGGAATGATTGGGGAGAAACAGGGAGTGACTGCTAATGATCACAGGACTTCTTTTTGGGGTGATAAAAATGTTCTGAAATTAAGACATAGATGAGGTTGTGAATATACTAAAAAACACTGAATTGTACACTTTAAAATAATGAATTGTATGGTATGTGAAAATGACAATTAAAACAAATAAAAAATGAGCTTATTTAACTTCAAATTAATACACAATTCTGCACAGCAAAATAGGACAGAAACACTGATACTATTCTTGATGGACAGCAACGCTGGCCTGACAGTTATCACTGTCAGAGGACTTCCTTACACCTCAGCATGGATGATTCACAGGGACAATAGTGTCACTCCAAAGAACGGCCTTTTAGATAAGATTCCTGACATAAAAACTGCAAAATAAGAAGGCAAATCCTACCTGCTCATTATATCTAAGTCCAGTAATCTCCAGGGGCAAAAAGAGAGGAATTAGAGCAAGGCAAAATAGGGAAATGAATGCAATGCAAGAAACTGAAAAGGGCGAGTGCCGGGCAGTATGGAGTAGAAGGAGATGGCTATAATCCAAGACTGGTGAGGGAGCGGCAAAGAGTAAAAATCATGAATGCAGGTGTGGATGAAAAAGAAAAGCTGTAATAAACCTAAATGAGAGAAACCTCATGGGGTGACCTGACCACTGAGTTCCTAACTGGGAAGGTTATGGTGGGCAGCCACACCCCAGGCATACAACTTCTTTAAGTAAAAGTTTTACCTTTGCCTTAAGCAAGCCGTCCATTGCGTCTGTGCACCTAACACACCTTTGAAATGCCTCTTTTTCAGACCCCTCAGAAGCATAACTACCCTCAAGAAAACACATAATCTTAACTATCCTGTTATCCAATCCCCACCCTGCTTTCTCCCACCTTCATGTCGTCTTCCTTACGTTCCCTCCTTAATTCTAAATGTGTAAAAGAAACTGCAAACTGCCTTTCTCCAAAGCATTTTTCTGTTTCTGGCATTGTCATCAGTTTGGTCCAAATAAACTCATAAAAACTCTTTACAGGTTTGGATACTTCTTACTTCCACACAGGTACTATCAATACCCCCTTTTAAGTGGAGAGGCTAAAATAATTTCCTAAAATAATTTGGCTAGTAAGTGGCAGATTCCTGTGACTGACTTGAAGGCCTTAACCCACCATGTTCCTTTGCCTCTACATGTGTACCTCTAGGTAAACCAGTGCAAAGCTGGCCTCGAAAGAACTGACGGCAAAAACCTGTGTCACTAAAATAGCAGACTTCCACTACTTACTTCATGAACCTTTACTGGAGACAGATTGAGACAGGCCAGTAAGCCAGGACAAGTGGAATAGGGAAATTGGGACAGATAACGGAACAAACTGGACGAGCAAATTACAACCAGATACAGAAGGTCACCTCCCTAGATATAACATCTATGCCTCAGTTGTATTTCAGCTCCAGGCCCAGAAAAGCAGCAAAACCAGGTGGGTAATGACTAATGACCCCCTGCCCTGGTGATGACCAATCAGTAGAGACCACCACCTGGACAGAACTGATGAATATTCTGCTGAAAACTTCCCCTGAGACCTCCCCTGAAACTCCCACCTGCAAGACAGATAAATGCCTCAAAACAAAGGACCCAGGGCATGCCCCAGCTATCCCCTTTTCCTTCTACTTCCCCCACAGGCCTGCATCTCCTAAACGCTAAGGGACCCTAGGAGACTTGCAACCAGGGGAGCCACGGGCAGTGGCAGCTCCGCCGGGGCTGATCCCCTGAACCCGTCTCCAAGGCCCCTTCCCTCTGACTTCCTAGTGGGCTCAAGCAGCCCTGCCTAGGCTCTCCTGCTGCTTCTTCCACCCCGGCCTGAGGCAGACCTGCTCCGGCCACATCCCCGGTCCCATAACAAGATGGCTGCCACCACTTCAGAAAAATGTACTCTCACAGCCCAGCAGGGAGGCCCTGCATCTGCTGGTTATCACCAAGAGCAGTGGCCTTCTACTGAGGACAGACAGGCCTCCTCATGTAACAAAAACCAGTCCCTGCCTACTCCGATGAGGCGTCATTAACTATCACGTAGTATTTATTGGTGTGTACTGTGTGCTAGACACAGAATGCTAGCTACAGCCCCACTCAACAGATGGGAACGTGGAGGCGCAGAGAGGTTACAGAACTTAACCCCAAAGCCTGTCCTTTTATTACATCATGCTCATGCTGTAGACTCTTAAAAGGCGTACCGAGCACAGGCATCCCAGTTTCCAACATTATCAAAGGTAAAACGAAGGCAACCAATGCCGACGATATGACAGGTAAGCTCCTCTTAACCTTTTCAGGCCTCAGTTGCCATGCTTGTGAAACTGGTTCACAATGAATGAAGTCAGAGGACCCTCGAGGACGATCTCTGAAAGTTCCCTGACGCAAAGATCCGATTCCACCGGAGATGCATGTTTCCCAAAATCCAACTCGCTACCAGCGTCAGACAAGCACGAGCGTGCTCGCGAGAACCACGGGGCACACCACCCGGAACGCAACGCACGCGGCCTCATTCGCGAAGAACTCGCCCCGGACGCCGGGCGGTCCGCGAGCGCGCCCAGGGGCCGGTGACCTTGACGCCCTGCTCCCCGGACCCGGAAGCGGGCCCGGC